GGGTGCAGAGTAGGCTGAAGGGTTCTGCGGGCAGCTCAGAGCAGCCAGAGTGCCAGAGCGGAGGGATTAGAATGAATGGGAAGCAGTGGGCCTGGGATGGCCCAGCTGAGGCCTCACTGGGAGAGGACGGGCACCACCTTGAGCAAAAGCCTCCTATCCTTCTAACGGCTCTGTGTGCTGTCGCTCACTGTGCTGTGCCTCAGGTGTCGACAGCGAGCAGGCCACTCACCAAGGCCGGCACTGGCATGCCCGGGCCTCTTGCTTCTGCTGCAGCCTCTGCCAGAAACCGCTGCTAGGACAGCCGGTCACGTCCCATCACAGCCTCCTCTACTGCTCCGAGGCCTGCAGCTTGGAGAAGGCAGCGGCGTCCTCCACAGCCTCGGACTCGTCCGACTCCGCCTTTGTCTCGGCTCCATCTCCCGACTCGACGCCCGTCTCCAGGGCCAGCAGCGAGGGCGGCAGGAATGCCCCTCCGGCTCCAACAATGGGTGGCGATTCCTGTCAACAGAGGGCAGAGGCGGAGGGTACAGTCACGTGCGATCCCCTTTCAAAAGCGGGGAGGGGGGGAAATTGGGGGCAAGGAGAACTTTGATCCCGAACAGCCAGGACAGGGAATCCACAGAATTTTCCCTTAGCAGCTAGAGGCCAGGGCATGTCCTCCTGCCAGCACATAGTGTCAGGGCTGGCTTGAGTGTAGCATCATTCTCCTCTTGCTCACATCAGTGAAGTCACTGGGAGGTTGCATGATCAGCAGGATCAGAATCAGGCCCATAGGCTCTACCACGACAGACCAGCCTGTCAGGCCTCAGGAACATCTCCAGCGGTGGCCAACAGCTGATACCACAGGGTAAGACATAGGGTGGGGAAAATTCTGCCCTGATTTATGCAGCTCCATCGGCTTCCATGTACATGTCAAGGCAGAACTCGGCTTGGGCTCCAGCATTGTACGGCAGTGGTCATCAAGCGGGGGTGGGGGGCATGGTGGTGAGAGGCACATTCAGATCCTTTTCTTTCGCCTTCTCCCCTCTTTCAGAGATGGAGGACTCCCCTGATCAAGCCTCCACGCGCCCCGCATTCAGAAGCCAGGATGGCCATGGGACAGCAGTTAAGGAGAGGAGTAAGGGAATTCCCTGCCCCAATGCACTGGCACAAGCAGCTGCCGCTCCCCCGGGGCAGGAACGATCCTCCACCACCCTGCCCAGTGAACTGGGTCTGAATGGACCAGGGGCCTTGGGCGACCAGCTCCCAGGGAGGCTCAGGCCTCAGCCAGGCGGTGGAGCCCTGCACTTTAGAATCGGTTCATCCACCGACCCCAGTATGGCTGCACGACAGAGCCCGGGCCCATCGCTCACGGACGCCCGCCCACCGGACGTCATGGAGGAAGAAGATTCCTGGTGCCCGACCTGCTCTTCCTCCTCGGACTCAGACTCGGAGCAGGAGGGCTTCTTCTTCGGGAAACCGATCCCGAAGGCTGGGCCGGCCCTCCCTGGCAGGGAACGGAGTGGCCTTGGCAGGGCGGCAGGAAGGAGCAAGCACTTGGCCAGGCTGCGAGGAAGCCGCAAACACTGCAGCATTTCCTAGCAGGGGGAAGGCTGGGCAAAGAGCAAGGGCTCCCCAGGCAGCATGGAAAGGACAGAAAGGGGGTGGACGGCGGGAGGAAGAACTTGTTACTTAGCCAAGTGTATTTAACCAGAGGGTCCCCCCCAGCAGACAAGCCAGGGGACGAGAAGTAGCCCCATGATGAAAAACAGGTACAGCACGCTGGGGAGGGGAAGGCAGACAGCCCTCGGGGGGCACAGACATCCCCTCTCTGACCTCACACCCAGACATGGGAAAAGACAAACCAGCCAGCCCTGTTTGTTCTCCAGAGCCCGTTTTACTGTGAAACTCAGGGTGGGGTTGTTTACACAGCAAGGCTGCCTACAATCCAAATCTCTCCACTGCCCCATCGTAGGTTTTCGCAAGCACTGGAGATCTCAGAAGGGCAGGACACACGCGGCAGAGTTTGGCTGCTCCGCCGAAGGGGAACTCTTGCTCTCAGGACCTCCGGGCTGAGAATCCCGTTCAGACGGGGTGGCCTGGCCCCTTTCGCCAGCCCACCGGGACCGATTGAAGATGGACACCGGATCCTTCAGCTCAGGGCCGAGTGCAGCTTTCTCACCCGCAGTGAAAGCTCGGAAGGAGGATGACTGGACTTTGGAGAGGGAAGGAGGGTTTTGAAATCCCAGAACCAAACTGTAAGCAGCGAAGCGCCCCCAGGCCGGGGGTGGTGAGGGGCAGACTGTGAATGTGCCGGGGGATTCCAGAGATCAGTTCCTAAACTTCACCAATAAAGCTCAGCACAGACCTGAAAGGGGTTGGTGTGTGGATAAGAGAAGCAGGTCCCGGGTGGGACATGCTCTGCCACCTGCCTGACTGCTTCCTGCAGGAGGAAGGAGGAAAGGGCCTCACTGCATTACAGGGCATCCAGCAGGGACGGCTCCAGGCACCAGTGCAGCAAGCGTGTGCCTGGGGCGGCAAGCCGCGGGGGGTGGCCTGCCGGTCGCTGTGGGGGCGGCAGTCAGGCTGCCTTTGGCGGCATGCCTGCGGGAGGTCCGCCGGTCCCGCGGCTGCGGCGGCAATTCGGCAGCGGGTACGCCGAAGGCGCAGGACTGTCGGACCTCCCGCAGGCATGCCGCTGAATCTGCGTTACCAGCCAAACCTCCCGCATGCATGCCGCCGAAAGCCGCCTGACTGCCGTGCTTGTGGCAGCAAAATACATAGAGCCGCCCCTGCATCCAGTCGCTGCCCAAAGCAAAGCAAGGGGCTTCCCTTCCACTCAGGGTCTGTCTACATTACAGCTGCGGTAGTGGGCTGCAGCTGTAGCACCGGAGTGTGGACGCTTCCCACAATCGCGGAAGGAATTTTTTCCGTTGATGCAGCTAATGCACTTCCCCGAGAGGCGATAGCTACCTCGGTGGAAGAATCCTTCCGTTGGCCTGCCTGCGTCTACCCAGGGGGTTGAGTCGGCCTAAATTTTAGACGTGGACCAGATCTAAGCCATTGGCATGGAATGTGGTGGCGGGACAAAGCACAGTTTTGAAACAGGAGGGGATGGGAGTGCTGCGGGGCCGATGTAAGGAGCCCAGGTATGGACGAGCAGGGGAGCTGCAAGTCAGGAGCGAGGTGCATCAGCAGAGCTGGGTAGGGAGTCCAGGATTGCAAACACAGAGGAGAGGAGCTGCCGTGGGACTGAGGATTAAACTGGCCTAGGGCCATATTTTTTAGAAGAGTCCAGCTCTGATTTAGGCAGAAAATTAAGTGGAGAGATTTCCCGAGGAGCCCAGCACACTGGGTGCTGAGGGCTTGAAAATAATCCAGCCCTTAGCTCCTTTAAAAATCCCACCTCCTGTAGCTACCTGCATCACACCTTGCGCCAAGCCGAGCCGCCAGCCCCTCCTACGGGAGAAATACCCCAAATTGAATGTTTTGAAACAAGCGTATAACGGCCTCAACCGAACAGCTGCTGCCTTATTTACGAGCTTCTCCATTAACTCCCCTCAGTGGCTCAGCCAGTGAGCGGCTGTATTCACACTCGAGCAGACTGACACAGGAACGCTGATGGCGCAGGGGCAGCTGCAGGGGGCGCGCTGCCCGCCGCCTGCCATTTTATTTTTCAGAGATAAAACAATTTTCTCCAGAAAACAAACATTTCGAAGTTCAGGGAAGCCAAGCAGGGACTTTCGGAGACTCCTCTCCTTCAATGAAACCATGGGGCTCAGGGGCCCCAATCCTGGCCAGGTGAAACTGCTGCAAGTGTTCTCCCGAGGAGGCTGTCGCCCATCACTCCCAGCGTCGGTTTCAGTCAGCCCCGCCCGACAACCCCAGCCCCTCTGGCACCACTTATCCATCCCCATGGTTACTGACCCCTTCGGCCCTAGTACCGCTCGGCCCTCCCCCAGGCCGTCTCCTCCCCTCCCAAATTACTAACCCTCCCAGCCACTTCAAGCCAACAGCCCCTTTCCCGTTCCATGCCCTTGTCCAGCATCAGCACCATGATTGCAGCCCTCCACGCTGGGGCTCTGCTCCCACCCCATCGTCTCCAGCTGCAGCCGCACAAGTCCATAGCTGCTGGTTTCTCATCCCAGCCAGAACCGCTGCTGGGGCTCCAGCCCCAGTCCCCAGCAGCGCTCCCCCCTCCCCCCCATCGGGCTCAGAGATCGAGCAGACGTCTCCCGCTGTGCTGCCTCTCATGAGCGGGCGGAGCCCGAGTCGTAGCTGCTAATGAAGCGCTCCAGCTCCTGCAGGCAGTGGCCCCCGACCTGCCGCAGGTTGGCCCGCAGCGCAGACTCCATCGCCGCCTCCATGGAGGGCTCCTTGTGCAACAGCGTGGTGGCCACCACAGCAAAGGCCAGGCTGGACTGCTGGTAGGACTGCAGGGAGGGGAGAAGGGGAGCTTGTCAGACGAGGCGGCGGGCAGGCAGGTCCCTAAACTCAGCCTGGGTGCCTGAGATTCCCCCCAGATGTATTGAGGCCTGACGGGCAGCCCCGTGAAAATGATCCGAGCTACTCTACGACTCAGGCCAGTGGCACCCCCTAGGGCTGGGGCAATAATGTGCTTTCATTGATCCCTGCTGCTGTCATGACGCACCTCTGCTGGGCAGCCCGAGGACCTCTCCCCGCTCCTGTGTGGCCGTTCCCTCCCTCCGCCCAGAACACTTTGCTACCACGAGAACCTTGCAAGGGGTCAGGCTCTGGAGCCTCAGCCGCAGGGGTGGACAGACGGGCCAGCCAGCCAATCACCTGGGAGTGTTGAGACAACAGGGCCAGCCCTCAGACTGCTCCCAGTCCCTGGCCGTTTAATCCACTCCCCAGCGGAGTGTGAATCCAGGAGGAAGAATATTTTTCGCATGCCGTGACGACCACAGGCATCAAAAACGAATCAAAGAGGAGGACTGGGCTAGGAGTGAGGTTGCTTTGACTTCCTGGCACCAAACTCCCTAGTCCTGAACTGCTCCTGGCTGGTGGTGGGGTTTTGCCTCTAACCTCACTCTTCCCAACCCAGGATCACACTGGTCATTCATGGATAGCAGACACATGAAACACCCTCCCTGAACCTATTGCACCTGCTTTGAAGCCCTCACTGCAGCTGTTGATTTGGGGCGAGCCATGCAGATGACGGAGGTGGTTTGGGAGGGGAAGGGAAACCCAGATCCTGCACACATCAAGAGCCTCAATGCATCTAGGTCCCACCCTGCTCCTGGGTGAGCAAGAGGGGACACTTAGAACTTACCAGCTCAATTTCTTCCTTTCTGGCCAGTATGGCAGCAGAACGAAGGTACTCCATGGTCTCCGCTGGGGTAGCCAGAGCAGAGCAGGCCTGGTAAGGATAGCCTGCGTCCTCCTGATGAGCAGCCAGCTGCTCCTAAGTTGATTTCAGACAGGGTGAGGGAAGGAGGTTAACCTGCTCTGGGGGAAGACAGGGCTGGACGTTTGCAGGTACATGAGTGAACAGGGCTACTGACAAATTAAATCGTCCCAAAATCAAATCCAATAGTGAGTGGAGAAGCCAGGGATAAACTCTCCCCCTCATCGCTTGGTGAAAGTGGGAGCATTAGAGGGATGGCTGCAGAATATTTTAAAGCATTTTTCTGAGCTTTATGCCACCTGCCCCAGCTTCCTGTCAGGGTAGCAAAGGGGTGACAGAGACGGGCACCAGTCCAGGTCAGCTGCGATGAAAAGTCGCTACAGTCGGATCGCTGTTCTCGTCCCTTGCGTGAAGGGAGGTTGTGATAAATGAAGGGGGAAGATAACTCCCTTTTATGGACACCCAGTTAGTTATGAAATCCCTCTTAGTAGCTGTTCTCTACTTGCTTTACCTGTAAAGGGTTAAAAAGTCCACAGGTAAAAGGAAAGGATTCCCCATGGGAATCAAGACTGAGGGGGAAAACAACTGAGGAGAGTTGGCAGTTTTTCAAAGGGACACTATTAAGGGCCCAAAAGCAGGCTATTCCGCTGGTTAGGAAAGATAGAAAATGTGGCAAAAGACCACCTTGGCTTAACCACGAGATTTTGCATGATCTAAAAAATAAAAAGGAGTCATATAAAAAATGGAAACTAGGACAGATTACAAAGGATGAATATAGGCAAACAACACAGGAATGCAGGGGCAAGATTAGAAAGGCAAAGGCACAAAATGAGCTCAAACTAGCTAAGGGAATAAAGGGGAACAAGAAGACTTTTTATCAATACATTAGAAGCAAGAGGAAGACCAAAGACAGGGTAGGCCCACTGCTTAGTGAAGAGGGAGAAACAGTAACAGGAAACTTGGAAATGGCAGAGATGCTTAATGACTTCTTTGTTTCGGTCTTCACCGAGAAGTCTGAAGGAATGCCTAACATAGTGAATGCTAATGGGAAGGGGGTAGGTTTAGCAGATAAAATAAAAAAAGAACAAGTTAAAAATCACTTAGAAAAGTTAGATGCCTGCAAGTCACCAGGGCCTGATGAAATGCATCCTAGAATACTCAAGGAGCTAATAGAGGAGGTATCTGAGCCTCTAGCTATTATCTTTGGAAAATCATGGGAGACGGGAGAGATTCCAGAAGACTGGAAAAGGGCAAATATAGTGCCCATCTATAAAAAGGGAAATAAAAACAACCCAGGAAACTACAGACCAGTTAGTTTAACTTCTGTGCCAGGGAAGATAATGGAGCAAGTAATTAAGGAAATCATCTGCAAACCCTTGGAAGGTGGTAAGGTGATAGGGAACAGCCAGCATGGATTTGTAAAGAACAAATCATGTCAAACCAATCTGATAGCTTTCTTCGATAGGATAACGAGTCTTGTGGATAAGGGAGAAGCTGTGGATGTGGTATACCTAGACTTTAGTAAGGCATTTGATACGGTCTCGCATGATATTCTTATCGACAAACTAGGCAAATACAATTTAGATGGGGCTACTATAAGGTGGGTGCATAACTGGCTGGATAACCGTACTCAGAGAGTTGTTATTAATGGTTCCCAATCCTGCTGGAAAGGCATAACGAGTGGGGTTCCGCAGGGGTCTGTTTTGGGACCGGCTCTGTTCAATATCTTCATTAACGACTTAGATATTGGCATAGAAAGTACGCTTATTAAGTTTGCGGATGATACCAAACTGGGAGGGATTGCAACTGCTTTGGAGGACAGGGTCATAATTCAAAATGATCTGGACAAATTGGAGAAATGGTCTGAGTTAAACAGGATGAAGTTTAACAAAGACAAATGCAAAGTGCTCCACTTAGGAAGAAAAAATCAGTTTCACACATACAGAATGGGAAGAGACTGTCTAGGAAGGAGTACGGCAGAAAGGGATCTAGGGGTTATAGTGGACCACAAGCTAAATATGAGTCAACAGTGTGATGCT